GCAGTAGCCCAGTTTACTTGTTAGTCATGACAATACTTGTCCTGACACAAAATTTCAATTACAAAGATTTGGGTCCCTGCCAAGAGCCCTGGACATTGACAGCTAGACTCATAAATAAAATCTGAATAGAAAAACAGAGTTTTGTGAGTTACACTTGAGTGTCTAATGCTATGCCCACAGTATCTCCCTTTGGTGCATGCGATGTGTGCTGATTTTGTATCATGTGTGCTGTGCGGTACTGTTTGTGCTAGCTGTATGTGATTAGTATGTATGTGTGCTGGCTGTATGTGATGTGTGTGTGTGATGGGTGCTCGCTGTATATGATATGTGTCGTTGGTGTTGGCTGTATCTGAAGTGCATGTGTTGTCAAGCACTAAAAATGCAGAACTAAGCGGTTTAACATGTATGAAATGGTTTTATATAATATAACGCCAAATAAAAGTTTGAGTTCAGGCAGTACATTAGTCATCATACGATGAGACTCAATAGTGAAGGTACAATATAAAAATGTGAAATGATACACACTATGCTATTTTATGTCATGTCAGTTGTGTGAATTGTATTTGAAAGACTCCAAACAGTAGGTGGAAAAGTGCATGTAGATGAAAAGAATGAAAGGTTTATCCCAGTTATCTTCCCAACACTATGGTTAACCGACTCTTGCAGGTTCATACAGAGAATCACAGTTACAATTTATTCTGAAACATTTACTTTGTGTATAATGATTGTGTTGTATCACAGTAGAATTTAAACCCATTTAATATAGTGTGAGGACCACTCATGTTATTCCAGCAATCAGAAATAACATGCTGGCCTGACTATATTATTTTACTTTTAAGCTATATTCAATGTCATTCATTAATAACAAGCTTATTAATCGCTGGGATACTTAGCAGCAGTCTTATAACTGTCAACAATTTGAGAAAAAGCAAAAAAGACTTTACTTGAACAAGAAGTAAGAGGAAAACTAAAAAATATTAAAGTATACTACTTTCTATGGCAAGAATGGTTGACATGCACAGAGCATTCATATATCACTCATTAGTACATTTAAGCCAGCCACTTACAGTTCTAAAACAGAAAAAAAAATGTGAGCAATCTTTTATTAGGATTACAGCTCTCCATGACCCTTCCTTCGCTTCCCTTCTCTTCCACTCCTTTCATTCTCATCATCCCAGTTCTGTATTTTTCTGCTTCTTACTTCATCTTTTCTAAACATATTTTTCCAATTGTCTTTTTCTTCACTCAGTCTCTTCTCTTTGTTTGATTTATATTATATAAGTATTACTTGTATATTAACAAATATACCACTCCATTTTATGGCACATTCTGTTATTTTCTTTAAAAAAAAGTAGACACAAACAGCAATTATCCTTAAACATTTTTATTTTATATAATTCAATTCATTATTCATTACATATTATTAAGATTCCCAGACAATACATTAAATTTAGACTTCTAACTAGAAATTTCCAATTTTCTTCTGTTTATATATATATATATATATATATATATTATTATTATTATTATTATTAATTTAATTAATTTATTGGCATACCTGACAGCTGGACATACTGAAGGCAACAGTCTCAGGATGTAAACTTTAAAGGAACACTCTGAGGTTTGCTTCAATTAGAAAGGACACCTGCTCAGACACCAGAGATCTTATCCCTGTTTACTTTACAGGAAGAGATGTAGTTGAAATACAGATTAAAGTACAACATATTGTGAGTATGTTTATGGGAATTAATTAATATGAATTAGTTTGAATTAATTAAAAATAATATTTTCAAAATGTAAGTATATTTATAGGGATTAATTAATTTTCATTAATTAAAAATAATATTTTCATAAAAATTATTAGAATAATTAATCTTTATTAAAATATCCGGGGTTGATATTTTATTGGCGCTATTCCCATTTATTATTTAAAAGCGAAGAGTTACTCACTATTTTAACTCTTAGACCTGTAGTACGTTGTTTGAATTTAATATTTCATATATTAATATCACAACTTTCTATCAAAATTATAATATTTATTTTTGTTAACAAGTGTAAATATACATGATAATTAGTGAACAATTTTCAATAACATTGAACAAAATATGGCATAGTTTCATATCACAATCACAGTTTCACTCTGCTAGAGTGATGGGATTGTTAGTCCAAGACAATTTTAATCAACCGGGTTAGCATATGGAATATGTTACTTCATATACATTGATTGACACAATCAGCAAATAGAATGTTACAATTTGTTAAATTATAAAGAACCATATGAGATTGATTCAGTGTTAATGAATTATAGTTAAAAGTTCTGGTAGAGATAGGTAGAATTTCTAAGAACTTTTTCCCTGGTAGAGATAGGTTAAGTTTACAGATAAGTAAAGAGTAAGATAGTTTCAAGATGTCTGCTGTCAATAGGATTTCAAGAGATTGTCCTGAGAAGAAGAGAATGATCTGTGATGTCTGTGAAGATCCCTTCTTTCCCTATGTCATGGGGTTATATTTCATTCCTTATCTGTTAACCTTATGACCTGATCCAATTGGAATCTTGGGGCAAGTTTTATGTTAATGGCTGCTGACATAATTTTGACATATATATTTCTATATGTTTCAAACAGCAGGTGGAGCTGTTGGCTTACATCAGGAATATTACCAGCTATTATCATATAGGGTTAACTTCTTGTTTAGGACAATGTAGAAATGTTTTAATTTTAAGATGCTTTAGTCAGCGTTTCTCCTTTCTAAATTTGGACTTTGGTCGTTCAAACATAATGTGTCCATACTTACCAAAGCATTATTCTATTTCAAGATTTTTTTAAGTAGTCAAACATAATTTATCTATAGGTAATTACATCTTTACATGTGTATATATATATATATACATATTTATATATATATATATATATGTGTGTGTGTTTCTATATATGTATATGTTGCTAACTAAAAATATAACACACTATATTACTAGTTTTGTATACAACTAAACCTACAGCAGCATATATGTGTGTACTTTTTAAATTAACACTACTTGTCTTATCTTTGTTCTTATCTTTATTGATACAGATGTATTTATTCATTGTCTGGCTCTTTTAGCTGACAAGACACAGCTTGAGGAAAAAAATATTGTCTTTCTATTTTAGCACCTCATGGGATATGTTTATACTCCAGAAATGATTGTGCATCTTCATATCCCATTCTGAATAATCCTTTTAAACAGTTGAAGGACCTGAAACAGTAACAATATATTAGTAAACAGATCACAACATGTGTAGGTTTGCTTAGTGCCATTCTATACAATCAGATATAGTGATGAACTATGTTGCAAAACAAATAAAGTAGAGAAATTAACACATTTACAAAACCAGAAGTCTTGTATCAAACCATTCTTAAATACTTGGCTCCATAATTATTGAAGGGATACTATAGGCATCAAAACAACATAAGCGGTTTTAGTGTATAGATAATTCCCCTGCAGTCTCACTGCTCAATTCTGTGCCATTTAGTCATTAAATCCCTTTTGTTTCTGTACATGGATCTCTAGCCACACCTTCCCTGGTTGTAACTGCCTGTATTAAAAAAATGGTTTCATTTTTAATCAGACTTTAGTTTGCTTTATATGTTTTTTTTATCTCTTGCTCTGTAAATAGAACTTTAATCACAGAAGGCTCCTGTAGGATCTCGTACGCTATTAACAGAGTATGAGATAGGAAATTCTAGATTAAACAGACTGTGCAGTAAAGGAACCAAGAATATCTAGGTTCCTTTTTAGGAAGTGTTTAGGAAGGATGTGCAAGTCACATGCAGGGAGATGTGATTAGGGCTGCAAAGAGAATTGAGCAGTGAGGCTGCAGGGCATGATCTACACAAAAAAATGCTTCATTTTTACTAAAAAAAGTGCACACATTTCACTTTTTTTGTTTTTCTTCTGTATTATCTATTTCACTTATTTTTACAAAATAACTATATGAATTACATAATCAGATTGCTTTCTCCCTCTTTTTCACTTGCTACCACACCTGCTGCATAAAGACTGTATTGTATACTCAACCTTCTCAGTGATCCCTCAAGATGAACCTAAAGCAACAATAAATAAATTTTAAAAAAAACAAAATCAGCTAATATTTCTAATTGTTGCATTTCTGATTCTTTGTTTTTTAAAGATGAATAGGCTGTGTCCAATTTAGAACTGATTAGTTGTGATTTTTATTATTAGAGGAGTTTATTGCCACCAGCCCTCTTACATTTGTTCATTAAACTGCAAACTCTTTGTTTTGGTTGTTAAATGTATGAACAATTTCTGACATTAACTATAATTTGCAAACTAGAATTAAATGTTTAACCCACAAATAAAAAGCCTTAACAAAAATATATATATATATTTTTTTTTTTAAAGATTACTTATCCTACTTAACAACGGAACATTCCCCAGAAGAAACCACATGATCTGAAAAAGAAATACCACTTAGTATATGTATAGCAAAGGCAATCTTGAAGCTTATCTCAGTGTATCTCCAAACAATGAAGGAGGGGCACTAGGCACGATGTACATCATATTTTGGTGGTTATGGTGCTTTTAGTGGTCCTTTAAACATTACTCACACTCTTTTCACTCCTTGACATCCTTTTTAATTCTATAGCATAAAATTGCTTTTTAAATTATGACAAATATTGTAATACTCATATCAATTTTCCATTTTTTTCTATTGGATTTCTGATTCTTTTACGGCTAACAATGAACGGGTATTTTCTGATTTAGAACTGACTGGAGAGGCTTTTTTTTATTATTATTATAAGTGTTTGATGGTATGCGTCCGCACTCTAGCATTTCAATTTATTAAAATTCATCTGCAAGCTCTTTGTGTTAATTTTAAAATGGATGTATCATTTCTATGCCAGCAATTAAACTGTGCAAAAGTGAAATATAATTTTTTGCCCACCAAAACAAATGGAAAGGCTTAACAAAAACATTAATGTTTAAATAAAATATTGTGTACCTCATATCCTAAACAATCCAGCAAAATAGCTACATGAACTAAAAAGAAATGCACAATAAACACAATCATGTTTCTGTCGTTATATACAATTACATAGCATAATGGGATGAATGGGTACAAACAAAAATAAAGAAAATACAATATTTATAGCAAACAGTTCAGAAATTGTACAATTACCATGGTGCAGGGCAGATGTAGGTAACCTTTGGCACTCCAGATGTTGTGGACTACATATCCCTTGATGCTTTGCCTGGAAGATTTGCTTTGGAAGATGCAGTCTACAACATCTGTAGTGCCAAAGATTGCCAACCCCTGATGTAGGGCAAAGAAGAATTGTAATGAATAAAACGTGAAAATGGCGGTATCACAAGATTTATAAACACCTAAACAAAGCACCCCAGGAAAGACCAATGGTCTCTGAGAAGGTAACTCCAGTGGTAGAAGAACTAGTAGTTGTTCTGCTTGTATGTTTCTAGCCTTTAATAGGAGAATTTCCTAATTAAGTGGATTAAATATATGAATCCACTACGTGCTATGTGACCTATTTTGTGAAGACGTTCACCTGATCATAAGAGGAAGTTAACTTCCATATATCCATCTGCTGGGACGCTATTGAACATTAGATTTAAAATGACTTCAAGTATTCAGTAATGAAAAACTTTGAAATGGTCTTGCAAGGAGTTTTGTTTTTATCATTTTCATATATAAACCATTCAGAATGGGGGAGATTTATACATCAGCATGGTGTTTTTAAACTATTTTCATGCTGTTCAATTTGCAATTTATAAATGCAGCTCAAGGGCAGGGAAGCTTGTTTGTGCAAAATGTATGCAATCAAATCCATATGAATAGAAAGAATATCTCCTTTAATTATTATATAAAAAGTATATATATACAGAACTCATTTGAAACAATACTTATAATTTGCCGTGTACAGTTCTTAATTTAAGTTGCTTACCTTCTATTCCTGTGGAAGAGGCGTCTGGAAAAATCTCCTCTTCTCCTCTTAAATGATGTTGCTGGAGAGGTTTCTTTGTTTAAATTCCTGTAGTCATAGAAACCTAATATATTTAAGAACAGGCTCTATCTTTAACAATATGCCCAGTCTGTGTTTGTTTTTAGTTTTATATTATTATTCAAATGTAGAAACATTGTAACAGATACATATAATATCTCTACGAAGTGGTGCTAATTATCCCACTTGAGCACTAGCCCACAATGTTTTTCTATATGGATGCACTGAATTGCCTGAGATCATCTTTAATGATGCTCAATCAGGAGAGGAGCAGCAGTTACAGCAAGACCGTCATGACAAGGGAAGAAAGGAAAGGAAATCTATTAATTTAATTATTTCAAGGGGGGCTAAACTTCTAAATAGTTAACATGAGGAATTTGCAGGAGGGGCACTACCTGGGCTGTAAAGGGATTAGTGGGGACACAGTAAGTACTAAGGACGGTGGTGATGTTTTATGCTGCTATGTGGGATGGAATGTGGGACCGGCCAGTAAAGGATGGAAAGAATGACCGCTGTCTTTAAGGGGTTAAAGACGTAAAGCACATTATAGGGAGAAGGGGCAAAAACACAACAATTACTGGCGCCAGGCCAGCTCGGTTTGCAATGTAATTAATTTCAATAATGCCAAATTCACTAATGTTAACTGCATTTGATCTCTTTGATGATTTATTACTTATTTTTATTATATACTGGGCATACCAAATACGCCTGAGTCATGTAAATCTCCAATGTAAATTGCCAATTTATGAGCTCCAGGCCTGGAGTCTATACTGTATTTGTTGTACTTTCACAATATACTTTATCTATGAAAATATAAATAATAATTAAAAAAAATAAAAAAATTCCCCCAAAGTTTGATATTAAAATGGATGAATAAAAAGTTACTATAGGTATATATTTTGTAATGACTAGATTTTAAAAAATTTATACTTCTGTGGATTTTGTGGTAATTTGGGTTTCGTTACTGCCATATCTGACCTTGGTGGGACACTCTAAGCACATGAACCTCTACAGCTTGCTGTGTATGTCTGTGTGAATCAATGTCTGACAGTGCATGTGTGAAAATTTGTGTGTAGCAGTGTTTGTGTATTTCTGTGAGTGGGAATGTGCATATTAATGTATGTGAATATGTGAATGCACGCCTGCATGCAAACACTACACACAAAAACAGCCCTCTCTTCCAATGCCAACACTGTACACAAACACACTCCTGCATTCACACATGAGCAATATACAAACAAAAACAGAAACATTCAGATAAAAATACTCCATACAAAAACACATCTTCATTCACACACAGACACTGCACACAAATACAACTATGCAAGTATAAGCAAATAGAGTCAGAGCTTACAAAGCATTGTGAGAGTTTTACACCAGTTGAGAATCTGCACTTTGGCCACCTCTGCTCTATAGGTAGGACTAAATGATTTATTGCACCAGCGTCCTCTCCTTATTTAGTCACTGCTGAAAGCATTATACAGAAACAACCTTATACTTACATAGTCAAAAACCTCTATGAGTTTGCCCCTTGTTGGGGTGCAGTCAAAAAGATGCAAAATGAAAAAAGTAACTTTAACCCCCTTAAGGACCAAACTTCTGGAATAAAAGGAAATCATGATATGTCACACATGTCATGTGTCCTTTAGAAGTTAAATAATAGCTGTAGTCAATAACAAAAGTAATTGTCTATGGCCAACTTAGAGAAACATGAGGCATTGGGGTAAAATTATAAAATGTCTGATAATATATTAGATATAAAAAGCTGGATTCTCTATCACAGCGGTTCCCAAACTATGTGCCGCAGCAGGTCGCCGCGATGGGCACACAGGGGCACCACAAATTGTTTCCCCGGTGCTATGATCATAGCACCAGGTACAGTGTCTCACTCTTCCCTGCTGGCTCTGCAGCACTGGAGGGGAGATCAGAGATCTCCCTCACCAGCCCGCTAGCACTGTGGAGGGGAGGGAGGACCCAGGGGAGCTCTGGCCTGCAGCTCCACAAGTTCTCCTCCCGCAAGCTCAGGCGTTGCTGTAGTTACCATGGCAACGCTCCAAATATTGTGAGAGTGAACTCTAGCCTCAGGAGCTGCTAGATTTCACTCTCACCACTTGGACCACCAAGGGTTAGTACTGCCACCTCTCCCAGGCAAATGTAAGAAGGGGGGAGAATATGAAAATTATTATTTGTTTTAATAAAAAAAAAAAAAAAAAAGTATATATGTATCTGCCCTCCTACCCACACAGACCCACAATAACTCCCCCCCATATACACACACTGCCCTCACACACACATACACACACACTGCCCCCATAAACAAACACACTGCCCTCCCAAACACACACATACTGAACCCCTCACACACACTGCCCCCCAACACACTGCCCTCCCATACACACACAAACTGCCGCCCATGCACACACACACACTGCCCCCCATACACACATTGTACCCCCACACACACTGCCCCCACACACTGCCCCACAATGCACACAAACTGCACCCCTTGTGCACACACTGCCCCACACACTATGCACAAATCTCACACACACTGCACCACACACACACACACACTGCACCCTTCCCACACATTGCGCACTTTACACACACATACACACTGCACTCTTCACACACATACACTTCACCACACACACATTGCACCCCTCACATACACTACTACCCCTTTCCCATACTACAGCCCATGGGCGTCCACAGGAATTTTTCCAGGGGGGGGGGGGCATAATTGTAATGACATCCATTCTTGGTACCTTTTTGACAGTGTCATGAAAGGGAAGGGGCATAGCCATTATCACATAAAGCCAGGGTGAATAGCATTTTCACAACTATGGTGTCAGGAATATATGTTTGTATTCCTGACACTATAGCAAATTATAGGACCATTCTGTTCAACATAACAACTTCACCTAAATGAAAATGCTATAATGCCAGGAAGCCCCTGGGTGCTCTCTTTCCTTTAAGGGGTTAAATCGCTCTCAAATGGTTTAACCCCAAAGGCTTCCTCCAGCTCTAGGTCGCTCAGTGGTATTTGGCTTCTGAAACAGAGTGTCAGGAAGTGCAGATTGACGTCAGGCATGGGTGCCGCTGATTGGCTAGAGTGGACAGTTGACGCTCTAAGCCAATCGCTAGTTCCCGGTTCATAAAATATTTTTACTTTTTTATGAATGGGGAGCTACTGATTGGCTTAGAGTGCCAGCTGACCGCTCTAGCCAATCAGCAACACCCCTACCCAACGGCACTCTGTGCTTCCTGACACTCAGTAAATAAAAGTGAACACATTAATACTGATATTTTTTTACCTTTGGAGATGAGAAGGTCCAGAGTTTCCCTGCCAGGCCCAGGTACCAAAGCCTTATGATGTGGTGTCCAGAATAAAGTGGAGGGTTCACTTAATTTGTCCTTCCTGCTCCAATCTCCTTTTCCTCTCCTTCATTTGACAGTCTTCTTTTTCTTCTGACACTGTTTTCTGTCCTTGGCTCCTTCTAATCCTTTACCTTTCTGCTTATTTTGCACCCTTCTGCTCCTTTCTCATTCTGATCCCTTTCTGCTCCTTGCTGTCCCTTTCTGCTCCTTCTCCTGCTTTACCTTTGTGCTCCTTCTGATTCTTTCTGCTCCTTTACCTTTGTGCTCCTTCTGTCCCTTTCTGCTCTTTGCTGCCCCTTCCTGCTCATTCTCCTACTTTACGTTTGTGCTCCTTCTGCCCCTTCCAGCTCATTTCTGACCCTTTCTGCTCCTTCTACTTTACCTTTGTGCTGCTTTACCTTCCAGCTCCTTGCTGACCCTTCCTGTTCATTTCTGTTCCTTTGTGCTCCTTCTCCTACTTTACCTTTTGTGCTCCTTGCTGTCCCTTCCAGCTCGTTGCTGCCCCTTTCTGCTCTTTGATGTCCCTTCCTGCTCATTTCTGTTCCTTGTCCTTTATGCTCCTTCTCTTACTTTACCTTCCTGCTCCTTGCTGACTCTTCATGTAGGCTGTCTCCCCATCCCTAACTTCCATAGGTGTGCGCACGGGGTGTGTCGGGTGTGCCTGGGCACACCCTAATCCCCGCGGCACGCCAATGGATTGAGACCGGCAGGGGAGATCTCTGGATCTCCCCGGTCGGCTCATGCAGAGCCGACGCTATCTGAGCGGCGGCTCTGGTCTAAGCCTCCATGGGCCGGAGGGGAGATCAAAGATCTACCTCACCAGTCCACAGCAGCATGGAGGGAGGCAGCAGAGAACCCGTGCTAGAGTTCATTCTCCACTGAACCACCAGGGAAGGCAGCAGGATGGGGATATTAACTAATCTGCCCCCACCTCCACCCAAACATACAGTACACACACACAAACAGCACCTACACACAAACAGCACACACAGCCCACAAACAGCACCCAC